GGGGCCTCCAAAGTTCCAAAACTGCATAGACCTAGGTCCCCAGAGTGGCTATGGTCAGGGCATGTGGTCTGCAGTTTTGGAATTTTGGGGGGCCTCCAAAGTTCCAAAGTTCCACAGCTGCATAGACCTAGGTCCCCAGGTGGCTATGGTCAGGTCATGGGGTCTGCAGTTTTGGAACTTTGGAACTTTGCGGGGCCTCCAAAATTCCAAAGACATCCAAAGACAGACCTAGGTCCCCAGAGTGGCTATGGTCAGGTCATGGGGTTTGCAGTTTTGGAACTTTTGAACTTAGGTGTTTTTTTACAGGGGGGACAAATTCTCTTGAAAACCAACATGTAAAATCCCAAACTACACAAACCCCATGGCTTGACCTCAGCCACTCTGGGGATATAGACCTGTGCAGCTTGGGTCCTTTGGTACGTTGGTTTTCCCTCTAAAACCACCATACCACAATATCAAAACTGCCGTGCCCTGGCCTGATCCACTTTGGAGACATAGGGCTGTGCAGTTTTGGTAACCCACAATACCGTAATATCAAAACTGCAGAGCCCATAAATTTATGCGGTTGTTTTGCTTTAATCTTATTGTAATTGGTTAGACCTTTTTGTTTAACCAAGTATGCCTAAAATGAAGCTAGTTTGGTTTTTGTTTCAAAACAACTGTTGTAAAAACAGGCATAATGAAATGCTTATGCTTATTATAGTTTGTTCATAGTTTGTTCTAGTTTGATCTCAAAAAGTTTTAATATATGTTTACTTGAATTTTAGTTGAACTATTTTTTAATTTGCTTGAACTATTGAAATTACTTGAAAAGTAAAATCCAATCTAATGTTTCATCTGGTGGGTTATTATGCAATTCTACATGCGCTTCTAGAGAGTGCGTGCTGCTTTTAAAAGACCAAGCTTTGTATATAATTTATGTATTGCTTTCTTAAAGGTGGTTTTCTTAAAATCACACCCCAGCAAAACCCTCTCTCTAGAATAAAGGCAGAATTAAGTTTGAATTCAACTTGCTTTAATTTGGAACCAAATTGACATTGAACTAGAAACGAATTAAGACTAAATTAGAATTAAGCAAAACTTGTAAACAACTGAAACTGAATTATTGTAAAAGTTTTAAACTAGCGGAAACTACAAGTTAATTCCAAAATAATTTGAACTAAAAACCACATAAAAATGACATACAACTATATAAATTAGAACTAACTTCGAGATAAGTGTAAAAAGCAAATTATACTTAAACTATATTTGAACTGGAATTAAACTAAGATTGAAAGAAAATTTCATTGTTTCAAGTAGAATTGGAAAAGAATTAAGGTACAATTGAAATAGAACTGCTTAACCTGCAGCTCAGTTAGAAGTCAGTTACTGCAATCATGAATTAGAATTAGACTTGAGTGAGAATTAGAAACCAAATGACTTTTACAATGGTACTAAATTAGAATTGAATGCAAATTTAATTAAACTGAATTAAGATCAAATTGGAGATTGAAACTAAACTTCAATTAGAAATCAGAAGATTCCTTTTTGAATTCAACCAGGTTCAAGTTTGAAAGTGCAATTTGATCTTTAAACTAAGTTAGACCTAAATAGAAGTTAAATTAGAATTCAATAGGGTAATTTATATGATCATCAAAAGCTTTATTTTCTGACATCACGTCAATTCTTGTAAAAACATAGGCTAAAATTGTAAAACATTTAAGCTTAACATAGAATTGAATTAGATCTAAATGTAAAGATCATTGGAAATACAAGAAACTTTTTACATTTCAATGAAAATTTTGTTATATATGTTTCAATTCAAGTTCAAATCTAAGTCAACTTCCAATACAAATTTACAGGTTGTGCAAGAACCCAAAGGACCAAAGCACAGACAAAGCCGAAAAAGCAAAAAAAGACTTTGAGGAGAATGTTTGGTTCAGCCTCAAAAGATGTTTTTGGTGTTCATTGTGATTTTTGTTTTTTGTTATGAAATCCAAAAGCCAAAAAGACTTGTCTTTGTTGTTCTACAGGTTTATTGTACTAGAATACTGCCAAAAAACACAATGAAAACAAAAAGGTATTTTGAGGCTGCACCAAACATGTTCTTCTATGCTATGTTTTGTTGTGTTGGTTTGTTGTTTTGTTGCTGATTGTCATTGTAAAGTGCATTGTTTTCTATTTTGCAATATCAAAAGATGTGCTTAAAACACTATAAATACCAGTGAATTGATGAATGGGTGGGTTTTGGGGGGGTACCACATATATATATATATATATCTTACTGCTAGTTGAGAATGTATTTCCTCTCCTACCTATAAACGCATTTGGTTGAGGTCAGTAATGAGAGATGATACTAGGGTTGAAAGGCCTCAATCGGCCTGAGGTGCATGGTTGATTTGATCAATGGACCATACAG